TAGGACCATCAAGGGAGAAGAGTATGAGTGGAATGTGGGACCCTATCCAGAGAAGCAGTGGCATCAGAGATGGAGGCAGATATGAGGACATGGAGAGATAGAGCAGCTGAGGATTCCAGACTCATGGAAAGAGAAAGACTGAGTGTTTGAGGCCAGCAGGCAGGCTTGCAGAATGTGCCCATTGGTTGTTTAAATTATTATATATTCCTGAGTGCTTGTGTGTATATCCACCGCCCCCAAAACAAATGATGACGCACAGAGGAGATTGTAATCATTGCAATGAAATGATGAGTGTAAAACTGATGTTCTCCCATGTAAACTATCACTCAATTCACAATAAAAACTAAAATAAGAAAAAAAGAATGGTTCGACAAACTTTGGTAATACACATAATGGAATATTACACAACAATGAAATATAAAGATGAAGCTGCAAAACACCTCACAACATGGATGTACCCGGAGGGCATTATGTGGAGTGAAATGACTTAATCATTAGTCACAAAAGAACAAAGTCTGTATGAGACCAATGTTGTGAAAAGTTTCCTGTGATAAAATCAGCCATCTATGATGGTTATGGGAAATTACTGACAGCTAGAGAGCAGATGCATGTTACCGTGGTGAGGAGGCAGGCAGTATACAAGAGGGAGGTCAGCAGAGGGAAGATGAAGGTAGGGGGAGATGCCGGGAGGGATGCAGTAGTTAAAGTGAACAGAGGTAAATACTGTTAACTGATGATACATGGAGGGGATTGCAGTCATTGTAATGAAGCAAATACATGCTTTGTTGAATGAAAATTTGATGCTCTATCTGAAACCTTCACTTAATTTACAGCAAAAGTTTAAAAAAGAAAAATCAAGTTTTTGAAAAAGGCGATTTAGAAACATGTTGACATTAAATGCTGTGGAGTTGGCTCAGCGACCCTGAACAGGGTTTCTGAGGAGCAGCTGGTGGGTTTCACCAGGACTTGTGGGAATTAAATGCGGAGAAGGATCCAAATCCCACACGCTAGACAGCACCCTTAGTGGGTCCCATCTCACTGGGACCCTGTCCTCACCCATGGGTGAGGCTCGAGAGGCGGTCAGCACCCCATCCCTCCAGTTCCCCCCACCTCTGGGTACACTGTGGCCAGCTGGCCCCCATACCTTCCTTCAGCAAGTCAGTGATATCAGCCTGGTACCGGTTCCCCACGCGGATCTCCCCTTTATCGGCCAGCAGGGTCTTCTGCTGGGGGTCATAGACTAGAGAATAGAAGAAGAAATCCTGAAAAACACCACACAAGACAGAGTAGGTTAGCACGTGCCAGCAGGCACAGAAGTGTCCTTGCCCAGGACACGTCCAGGGAGTCTGGGGGACCAAAGGTCCACAAGCTCCCAATGCCCTGTATGCAAAGCCCCACGGTGTGGGGTGAAGAGGGGAAGCGGGGGTTACTGTGGGATGGCAGACTAGGGGGGCGAGGGCTCCAGAAATGTCTGCCGTCAGTTCAAGGCTAGGGAACAGGAGACACAAAGCCTGCTGCACTGCCTTCCGAAGCCACAATTTCACTGAAAGCAGCCCAGACACCCCGGAGGTAAGGCAACAGGGAGGGCTGTGTAGGACCCAAGCCGTCCACCTGCAGAGGGCGCTGCACCCACCAGTGAAGACCCTCTGTGCCCCACCCACATTTTTAAGTGGCATTTTCACTGTCTGCACATCTGCCACTCTCACTGGCCTCTATTTGGCCTCTTCTTGATTCTTTTTTAGTGCTTTATCCAAATTTTACCCTAGTTCTCCCTCTACCAATCTGAAAGCTGCCAGCTGTCTCCATTCTCAGGGGCTACCTCTGAAACGTCCTGAGCGCTGACAGGCACTAGCGCCACCTGCTGACAGAACACACACTGCTCACAGGGCCTTCTCCAGGCCCCTTTCACATTTGAATCCCCCGTTTCCTTGTTAAAATTTATGAAATACACAGATTTTCTATTCCACCAGCCAAGGTTTTAGTGGGTCTGGTGTTGTGTGTTGTTGCTGTTGACACTGTGGCACCATTGTGCTACGATTTTTCCTGTGTTTGTGAGAACCCCATTTGTGAGGACATTGTGAGGCTAGCTGGCAGGCTCCCCACGCAGATTTCACACCACATAAGAGCTCACTGGAAAAGGTGTTCATGCAGCAGCCTGTGTCTCCATCACTACAGAAATACGAGCACCCTCAACAATCGTGTAAACCACGCTCTTTTGCGCACAAGTGTCTTTCCATGTCTCAGATATATTTCTGCATCATCACTTTCACTGACTGCAAAGAGTTTCCCTGTGAGGGTCTGCCACTGGGGGCCTTTCTCCAACGCCAGTCATCATCATCCAGTCTGCAGCCTCTGTTGTGGCTGGACAGGGTCTCCATGCTCCTGCCCACCTCTGGGCACACACACTACCTGGAACCTTTCCCTGCCCTTCCTTGGGTGAGTCCTCATTTTGAAGGCTAATAATAGGCACAGTTTCTTCACTCTGAGTTAGGACCATAGGAACAGGTCCACAGCACCAACGGGTCACTCTCATTACTGCCAGCTCACCATCCGTCTCCCTATCCATCCATCTCTCCAAGTCATTGTCTCCCTATCTACTAACCACCATATGGCCAATCGCCCACCCACTGCCAGCTAGTCCACGGTATGCCCATCCATCCATCCATCCATCTGTCCGTGCCCTACTAACAATGTCTACAATGAGTTGGGCTCTGTGTGTGAGGTGAGGGCTACGATCCTGCACAGGAAGTGGTGGTCTCTCCATGCCATAGACCTTCTAGTCTCATTTGGAGCCAGACACTAGAAGGCAGTCAGAATTCCCTGTGATGAGTGTCCCAATGGGGAAACATGAGGCAGTAGGAGGGCTACAGGAAGAGTTGAACGGGGCTCACGGAGGTCCCTCTAGATGTGGGTGCTGAGGATTCCAGTTCCCCACAGAGTGAGTGTGCTTTCTCACAAAGCCCCAGAGAGAGAATGCTGGTGGAACCCCAGGGTCTTACAGGGAGGCAGCTCTTCCCGAGTAGCCTGGAGCTTGTTGGACAGAGGAGAAGGGTTGCTGATGGGAATCTTGGGGCCACAAAGACCCCACCATGGTTTGCAGGGCACACCTTCCCCCTTATCTAACCCTTATACATCCCTCTTGAGAACAGAAGGGCTCCAAGTGTGAGAGACCATATGCAGCCATTTCCCACAATACCCTTAGTGCAGGGGCTTCAGTCAAGGCCACACTGAGGAGGTTTCTAGTGGTCCCAACTCAGGTAAGGGAAAGGGTCCTGACATCTAGGGTATAAAGCCCCCACCTCCCGACACACACACACACACACACACACACACACACACACACAAACACACACACAGAGCTAGACCACCAAAGCTGGCAGTGTGGGCTGTGCTGGCCCTCCCAGTTCCTCAGGCCACCACAGGCTGGTCCACACAGGACGGAGCCTGGGTGTCTGGCCCAGATGAACAAACATCACACGGGCAGCTGGAATAAGATGACCCTAACTTCTCACAGATGGATGAGGCCCAGGGCAGTGGTGGCCCCAGAGGCCTGAGGACAAGGTGCCATGAGCCTTGGCTTCCAGAACTCGCTGGCCCAGGTGCTCACAGGACCAAGGAGTTTGGTTCAATGGCCCAAGTGTCCAGCATCAATCCCAGAATGCCCGTCAGTCTCCTGGATGCAGTCCTGAGTTGGCCTCCCATCTGATGAGAAACAGCAGCCCCACATCCTCTGTGAGGTCACAGGAGTTCCATCCCCCAACTCAAAGCAGACGTGCATCAACTCCACACGACCCTCCAGATGGGAGCCAAGGAGTACCCCCACCCAAGTGCCCTCCTCCTCGGGGAGAGGTGTGGGAATCCCATGCCCGGTGTTCTGAAAGGGCCAACACCAGCACACAGAACAGCAGTGAGGTCAATAAGGAGGGTGCTGAGGACAGTGACCACGTGACCCTGGTCCCCGCCCCACAGGTCAGCCTGGCTCAGGGACCTCGGGCCTCACCTCCCGTTCCAGGTAGGACTTGAGTGACTCAGTCTCATTGAGTAACGTGACGCTGCACTTGCCCCTGGAAGAGACAGGTGGGCATTAGGGTCATTAGGGTGGGCATGCAGTGCTCGTGCGGTCAGCGGCTCAGAGCGGCGGCCTACAGCCCCACCTGATGTGAGTGGCAGGCAGAGACTCCAGCTGTCGTGACAGGAAGAGCTCCCGGTGCCGTAGCTGGTGTTTGACTTTCTCGGGCAGGTCCACGATCTCTGGGTTCTCAAGCTCCTCCTCCATCTCCCCTGCAGACAGAGGCCCCGGCCCCCGGTTCACACCAGGTGGCAAGGGAGGAAGGGAGGAAGGGAGGGACCCCTGGGTGGGCAGCTGGGGACTAGGGCGTGTCGGTCTCACCCCTGTGGGCAGTCCTGAAGGCCGCTACGTGTGCACCACACATGGCCCAGCAGGACGCCTGGACGCAGCTACAGTGGGCCCCACCTGTCCCTGCCCCCACCACCTCTACAGGTACTGACTCAGCACAGGGCTGGCAGGGCTCACTTACCTTCCTCATCATTCTCCGACCCAGGACCGGATTTATAGCACACTGACAGGGCTGGACAACAGAGAAACACGCCCATGCAGAGGTCAGGAGAACACCCCAGGACCATGACTGTACATCCAGCGGGTGGAGATGGGGCAGAAAATGGGGCCTGGGACAGCTCATACGGGAGACCCACAGGGTGCTGTGGGTTCAGGACACCACCCCGAACTCCATGCTGGCCCTTAGACGCTCAGTTCCCCCGCCTCTCTGCCCTCCTGGTCCTGGATGTCCCTCTGCTGACCCCTTGTGGTGGCTTCAGGAAGTAGCCTTCAGAGAGCGACTGAGGCAGGGCAAGCTGAAGACAAGAGAGCACACTCACCTGCCAAGGGCAGCCTTGCTGGGCCCCAGGTGCCCCGAGTGTCCACGTGACCAAGGCCAGGGACAGCCATCACTCTGCATTCTCAGAGTCTTGGGGTGCCCACCCACAGGGTCAACTTGAACAGGGACCCCTGCACACAGCCCTAGGGAGTCTGAACCTGACCCTGGGACTAAGCAAGGGCTCGACAGATGAGGTCTCGGGCCCCAAGTGAGGACAAGGTGTGGACAGGTGTGGCCCCGCCCCAGGCTGCACTTCATTTGGCTGCATCCTGCCAGTCCTCTCTCCCATTGGCCGGGAGCCCTGCTCAGGGGCTGCCATCTGACTCACCCAGGAGCCTGCATCCCATCCCTCAAGCCTTGGCCAAGCCGGTCAGCTAAACTTTGGCCCCACCCCTAGGATTTCCTGGTCCCTCTCCATTAAGTGCTGCACCTGACATACAGATACATGCATGTACATACCTGGAAATGCACATATGCATCCAGCATGACACACACAAAGATACACATACGCAAACACCACAGATACACGCATGCACCCAACACAAACACACAAACATACACACACACACACACCCAGTATACAGACACAGACACACACATACCTGACACACACATATACAAAGCACATACACCACACATGTACAGACATGCAGTTGACACATAAAGAGATACACAAAGCCACATGTATACATGTTTAACACATAAACACAGATATTGTTGTTGTTATGTGCTGTTGTGTCAGTTCCAACTCGTGGTGGTGGTGGTGGTTCTGTGCCGTGGAGTTGGTTCCACCTCACAGCGACCCTGTACAGGGTTTCTAAAGCTATAAATCTTTACGGGGGCAGAATGCCTCATCTTTCTCCAGCAGAACAGCTGGTAGTTTCGAACTGCTGACCCTGAGCTTAGCAGCCTGATTTGTAATCACTATGCTACCAGAGCGACCCTGTATAGTGTTCCACACAGAATGCACCCACAGACACATATACCCACATACACTGACACAAAACACACATGCACACACAGACACACAGAACATAGATATACATATACACACCAGCAGACATAGAGACATGCACAGACATATACATATATACACACAGGCATTCACACGCATGCAGACAGGTGGCACAGCCTGTGTGCACAGAACATTCCTCCAGAGGGACCTCTCATAGCGACTTTTCCAGGGATGGGCTGGGATGCTCTGACAGGCCCCTGGGAGCTCACTGCTGACCGCCCTCCTAGGGTACCTTACTGCTGACCACCCTCCTAGGGTACCGCCGCTCCTGTCCCCCCAGATCTGACATAGCCCTCTGGAAAAATCTGTCCTGCTTGTTCCCTCCCAGAACTCCAGCCCCAAGTCCAGATCGTACTGGGCTCCTCCGGCCCCATGGACACAGCAGCCAGCTGGAATCAGGCCTGCAGTGTGCCAGGAGTGACAGGCACACTTACCAGTAACCAATGGGCCCAAAGAGGCAACTGTCAGAACCAGTCAACACAGTACTGGCCTGCTCCCTTGTAGCAGGGCCCAAACGGCATTCCTGCCCAGCACAGGCTAGACCTCAGTCCACCCCTGCAGGGCTCTGGCCACAGCCTGCCCCTCAGACCCACATGGAGTGTGGGCCCACGACTCTTTTCTCAGTCCCCATGGGGAGGGGCAGCAGTCTGGAACCACCATGCCCCACCTGATGCTCCCTTGGTATCACAGCCGCTAATGCCCTGTCACAGGAGACACCTACAAGGCCCACACTGTCCCTAAAGCAGTCAAGCAGGAAGGCCTAGGCATGCCACTTTCTTGGGAGCTGGCGCCAGTGTAGGGCTGCAGGGTGCATCCCAAGGCCCCTGAGGCCAGCCGCACAGCCTGACTTAGCCCCAGGAAGATGCAGCCCCAGCCCCACACCTCCCGGAACTCATTCTTCGCCTGGACACCTCTGCGCTGGACCTGGGGGGCTGGCAGTAGCCACCTGCCTCATTCACTGACCCCAGCCCCACAGCCCCTGGCTCAGGCAGATGTGTGCCCGGCTAAAGTTCACCCTGAGGGATTCCGGTCAGCGTTCTAGGTCCCCACCCTGCAGCACCCTCTCCTCTGCCATTGGGGTTCCCATGTGGAGGGAGAGAGGCCCCAAGTGGAAATAGAGTTGCTCAGAAGACCCCGAGTCAGTCTTCTGTAGACTTAGCGGTGAGTTGTACCCCACGGAAAGAGGGGGCTGCCTTTTTGCAAACAACGTTCAGAATATAATGAAGGCATTCTGGTACTATATCCACAAGTAAATCATCTGTGGGTCCTCAGCCCAAGGCCAAGGTCTCACCTCAGGGAGTCTGATGGAGTTGGAGGCTTCCAAAATGAGTTTTATTAAAAGGAGACTCCTGGAGACTCCCCTACCAGGGGCTGGGGGAGGTCACAGAGAAAAGCCCAGAGAAGACAGAAGGGGTCATCAGCAGAACCAGGTCTTGAAGGGTCTACATACAGCCAGGCCTGCCTGCCACCCACCCACCCAGGCCCAGACTCACTCGCGTGCTTGTCGGCCAGGGCAATGAGCGTGCTCGAGATGTCCCTTCGTCTGTAGAAACACACCACCTTGGCCTCCACGTTCCCGTTGGCCGTCTGCAATAGCAAGGTGGGTGTCTGAGCACACACGGGGGCCCCACACGCAAGGAGTGGACGTGTGGAGCCCATAGGGAGCCGTGGTCCAGGACATGGGACATGTCCACCCTTCCTCACACCTCCGCAAGAATACGGAGGACCCAGCCCAATTCCTGGGAATCCCATCACCTCAACCCCTGATCCACCCCCAGCAAGTCCCCCACAGGTGGGCCCAGAGGAGCAGGGCAATGGCAGCAATGCCGCCCCTCATGACTGGACTAGCAGTGGACCTGGGATGGACATCACTGGAGAATGGGGCTGCACGCTCCCCTCAGGCCTCGTGCTATAGCAGCTATTGATTACAACCAGGAGCTGACACCCAGCTACTCCCGAGGCATGTTGGCAGTAGGGCTCAGCAGGAACCTCCCTCTGTCTTTAGCCAACCGTGTCACTACGGTACCAGGAGAACAGCTACACCGACAACAGCTAGCTGCTGGGCCTTCTCCCTCAACCAGCCAAGCATGGGTCTGGACAGAGACGTATCTTTGGTTTGTATCTCATGAAAAACAGACACGCAACTTCAAAGCCAGAACTCATACATCAGCCTAGCTCACAACAACCAAAAGGCAGAACTCAGCCAAGTGCCCATCGGCTTAAGAGTGGGTAAAGGAGAGGCAGCCCACTCCTTCCAAGAAGGGAACGGCAGTGTCGGTGCATGCTGCAACATAGGTGAACGTGGAGACCACTGATGTGCAGGCTCCAAAATGTGCAAATGCCGAAGTTTACAACAGGTCACCAGGCATGGGGGCGAAGTAGGAAGTGATTGATGGGGGGACAGAAATGACACCACACTAGGACTATAATTAAGGTCACCAAATTGTACACGTAAAAATGGTGAAAACAGCAAATCTATTCTTATATATTTATTTCAGCACAATTTTGTTTTAATGAGAAAAGCCCCTCTCGTGAACGCCAATACCAGAATCCAGTCATCAGGGGCCAACTGTGCATGTGCAGGCCTAGAGGTAAACGCCAGTCATGTGCCTGGGGGATAGGACATTCCAGCAGCTAACAGATACGTCAGGGGAACAAGAGGCAACACAGATTCAGGGACGGCGCTGGAAGATTTTTGTTTTTAAATTAACACAGGTTAAGAAATTCTTAAAAATGCAAGAATTCTATTCTCATCTCTTTAATGTATTACCATTTACAGCCTGAAATAAAATTACCTTGAAGAAAGGTATTTGGCTCTTAGTTGTTCAATTCGCTTAGGCCACGACTTTTTCCGTCTGACTCAGGAGCTTTCCACAAATTAGAAACACAGTCAACTCTGTCATTTCAAAATTTCACAAGAAACAAATCTGTGGATACCACCAGTGACAACCATCCCGGTCTACTAGGAGAAAATAGAGAATCTTTCTATGTTCCTATCAGCTATCAAAACAGCTACCTTTACTGGAACGACGTTTGAAGTCAGTGAGGGCTAAATGTTTTTTGTTTTTTTTTAAGTTTATCAAAAGGTTTGTTATAGACGAGCCAATATCTTAGTCTTTCAGTCACTGATCCTAGGTCAGAAAGTACCTCCTAGAAAACACGTTACATGAACTCTTCTGGGCATAAAACAGGTGACAACAAATGCCCATGAATCTCTAGTAGACCAGTCTGGGCCCCAGAGCAACATGAAACAAGACAACAACTGCCAAGATTCTTAAATCTTATTTCAGTTACTAAGCCCTATGGCCTTTGCCCATTTCCCCCACGCCTGTCTGTAGGATCTGTAGTAATGGCGCTGTGGGTTCATGCGCTGGACTACAAGGTTAGTTTGAACTGCAAGGTCGGCGGTTCAAGCTCATCTGCACTCCTCTGAAATCCTACACAGGGTTGCTATGGGTTGGAATCGTCACTTAACAACAACTAAACAACTCTCGACAATGGCCAGCTGCACCTCCACCCTCTCCAAAGGGGGGTCTCCACTGAGTAGGGCAGAGGTTCAAAAATTTCTTCCCCAGCTGGACGCCAAGGCCACACATCCCAATCCCTAGGAGACAGACAGCTAACCACGTGACCCTCCTCCATCTATACCCACCCAGCTCCGGTCTCAGCCTTGGCCCAAGGGGCTGCCTCTTCCAGTGTCTGCTCTACAGCTTTCATCTACCAGGTCCTGCTGCCCAGACAGGCCCTCCCCTTGGTCCCACTTTTTTTGTTTTTTAATGTTTTATTGTGAATTATGTGATAGTTTACATGGGAGAACATTAGTTTTACATTCATCCTATCGTATATCGTTTCATTGCCATGGTTACAATCCCCTCTATGCATCATCAACCAACCAAAGGGTATACCCTACAATCCTTCCCCCATCGGTCATCAGCACATAGTCCCTCTCCCTCTCTGGATCTAAAGTCCCCAGCTGCTCCATCGCTCCACGTCATCATCTCTGGCTTCATTTCAGACATCACTGCTTCTCTGGGTAGGGTCCCGCTCTCCGCTCTTCTCCCTTGATGGTCCCAGGGACCTCCGCGCCTGGACTGAAAAGTCAATCACTCCCCTCCTTGCTATAAAACATCTACCCTTACATTTCCAACCCTCACAATCAGTCCTGATAACAATTATTCACTATTGTATCACAAGAGACCCATCCGCATTTCATTGCATCAGCCCCGCCTAGACAGATTGGATACCGCTCAGTGGAGATTCTACCTTCCTCCAGGCCCTCTGGATCTAGGCTCCCTCGCTTGGTCCCACTTTCTGTGCTGTGGCTCCCACTTTGTCCCGGCCCCGCCAGCTCCCACTGTGGGCTCCTTCCATCCTGCAGCTCAGCTCTCTCACCTTCAACAGCCTTTTTTTGTGTGTGAAACACTGGCTTTCCATACCATAAAGACTTAATTTCCCCTGGAAACAATGTAACTGTTGTCGTTAAATGCATTTGAGTTGGTTTCAACTCATAGCAACCCTGTGTAGGGTTTCCAAGGAGCGACGGGTTGGTGAGGTTTGAATTGCCGACCTTGGGGTTCAAACGGACATTACATTACCCTACAGCACCACACCAGGACTCCACACACACCTGAAGTCAACAGCCGACAGAAAAGATTCAGCACATGATTTCTAAAGTCCACAGAAGCCAAGAACCGTGGGGACGGGGCAGGGAAAGGGCTTCATGGTCCACCCAGTACTCTGCTGACTGCTCAATTCTAGCATTTCCTTAATTTCTAAATGAAGATGGTTAAAAATAAATCAAGTTTAACTAGAATAGTAATATCTGAGAACAGAAAAGCAGACCCCAGCCCAAAATGCAATATGATAGGCGTTATGCTTTCTTAAAAAACAAACTTTATTTTTAGAGCAGTTTTACATTTACAGAGAAGTTGTGGAGGAAACACAGACAGCTCCCATATACCCCCAGCGCACACTCAGCCACCCCGTATTATCAACATTGTACATTAGGGTTAGGCCAATATCAACATACTGTTATTACCAAAGCTACTCTTCATTTGGACTCTGGACTGTGCTCCACAAGATCTCACCAGCTGCCCCTCGGAACCTCACACAGGACTGCTGAGTCAGGACGCACCCGATGGCACTTCACAACTCTCCACTCAGAAGGTCTGAGCTCTTGTCTGACATGCCTACTGTGCCACCAGGATCCCACCAAGAACCCCACAAGACCTGAGCTGTCCATCTCTCTACATGACCGGATGACCTGGCCATGTTCCAGACTTTCCTCGGGTTTGATGACCTGGGTGCTTCTGCGGAATTGGCCCTCCACACTGGGGTGCTGTGTGGTTTTCACAGCTAGAAAGGGGCTCTGGTCTTAGGAAGGGAGGGGGTTTACTCATCACATTGTAGGTGTTGTTTTGGCCCACTGGCCGGTTTCCCCACCGTAAAGTCATACTCCCCTCCACACTGGGCTCCTACAACGCAGCAACATTAATTATGTGGAATTCTTCTGCACCAGAGATTCGTCTCTTCCCTGCCATTTATTTATTGATTCAATCATACGTTTACGTTATGTGGACTCATGGGTAAATCACCAAGACCTTTATTCATTTTGGAGCCCACACTGACCCAGAGATGGCCACTATGCACAACCCCATCATTAGGGGGTAAAACATCACTTATTTCAAATCCAAGATTGTCTTTTCAAGGTAGCATGTTATTGTTGTTAAGTGCTGTTGAGTCAGTTCTGACCCATAGCAACCCTGCATAGGGTTTCTAAGGAGCAGCTGGTGAACTTGAACTGCGGACCTTGCAGTTCAGCTTTGCAGTCTGGCACATTTAACCCACAGCGCCACCCCAGGACTCCAAGATAGCATGTGCACAGTATAAAATGTCAGAGGCTTGGGAAACTGAGAACAGACAGACAATCATCCCCTTTCCCTGTCCAGCACTTCCAAATCTATCAGAAGTTTTCTTCCAAACAACATTCTGTACTGCCTGGCTTTTCAACGTTCAAACGTCACCACCAACAGCTCATTACAGAATCTAACCCCAACCCACAGCCACAGTCTCCTAATTCTAACTCCACCTTCAGTGTTTAGCATTGTGATCAGATAAATACGTAAAACGGCTGAGCCAACACTATGCTTAATACTCTTCCTTTCCCCCCCTTCCTTGTACAACTCTGTGTCCTGGGTTAACATTGTCTTGTTTTTTGTTTTTTTTTTCATTTGCTAAGTTTTCTACTATCTGCCTCTAATTCAGCGCTCAGCACAAAGTCGAGAGACTAAGAATCGCTGGTCCGCGGAGATGCTGCCCTCCTGAGTGGAGGTCCTACGTCTGCCATCCTGGGTGACTGTCTGCTTCCTAGGCATATACTTCCCCGGCTCAGTGGGATTCCTGAGATAGTTAGGGGTAAATGTCCAAGTCTGAAAACGTCTTTAGTCCCCACTTCCGTATGCTGAGAGCCATCTAGCTGGGTATAAACTCATGGGCTGAAAGCAAATCTTCTTCATAATTTTGAGCTCAAAGACTTCTCATCTCCAAAACCATTGTTCCAAATGCGTATCAGCAGTTTGAATCTTGATGCTTTGTTCATCTCTCAAACCATTTACATTTTCATCTCATATGCTCAGAAACTTAAAAAGTATGAATCTATAGATTCAATTGTTTCCATTCGGAGAGGTTTTCTTCATTCTTAAGCCATTTCTTCTTCCCATTGACAAGGTCTTTGCTTTCATGCCAGGCCATCGTTAGGGACCACCGAGTTGGCTCCTACTAAGCGGATGCCGGTCTATCAGACGGATTTTCTGATTTTCGTTCTCTCCCTCCTGTTGCTGTTGAGAGCCACTGAGTCGGTCCTGACCCATAGCAACACTGTGGAGGGGGTATCTAAGGAACAGCTGGTGAGTTTGAACCACCGACCTTGTGGTACAAACAGAATTTGTGGTCGAGTGCTAACCCTACACCAGGACTTTCTTACTCGGTGTTTTTCTCATTTCTGGGTGATAGCCTCAACTTTATCTTCTAATACTTTCATTCTATATTTTATTTCTAAATCGTCTTTTATTCCACGGGCTGCTCCTCATCCCCTGAACACCCCCATTGTTTACAGCACCCTAATCATGCTTCATCTGTACATTTTTGTGGTGGTTTTAGGTCCCTTTTTACCTCCTGGTTCCTTTTAGCCTTTGTCACTTATTCAAGTTGAAAGCCCATCTCAGGCATCTCATGACTCTTGGCTGCTATTTAGGAGTGAGCTGCCTCATAGCTGAGCGTTGAGTGCAAGGAAGGGTAGGCCGAAGGATGGCTTCTTCATCCAGCCAGGGCGCACACCATTGTCATTCTTCTGGGGAGGCTCCGTTCCCGCCCCCCACCCCACCTCCCCAACCAAGTCTCAATGGTTCTGGTCTAGTTTTCCTGAGAGAAGTGTCCCAATGTCATCTGGACGGGAGCAGGCTGACCATCAGAGTCTAGGAGCTCAAGGGCAGGGCATGGGGATGGTCCCTTAGAGGTGGGCCCCCATCTTCAGATCAGACCCCCATCTTCAGCTCCTGCCTCCCCTGGTGCTCTGAGTCCAGGTAGGGAAGGAACAGGGTCAGCTGATTTAGGGGAGGGTCCTGGTCAATTTGACCCCACAAAACGTCCAGTCCTTTGTTGTGTTCATAGCTCCACCTCTGTCCACTCTGCTAATGGTGCCAAGGCCCCAAACCCTCCAAGGCCACACAGTTCCGCTTCCTTCCTCAGGGTTCTGGCAGCACCAAGCCCAGGGCAGCAGTGTCCCCTAATGGGCAGTCTGTCACAGGACCTCCGGCCACCATGCCTGACCACCTGTTGTCTGCTCTGCCAGCCATGGGGTATGTGCAGCTAAGGCTGGGGTAGCACTTAGGGGATGAAACGGGTCCTCTGCTCACTATCACAAGGTCACAGCCAAGACCAGAACAAAGTGCCATGGTAAGTACAGCCGAAGGGGACATGTGGTGACCGTCCCTGGGTCAGCACAGCCATGGGCCATACAGTCTGAGATGCAGCCAAGTGGTGAGCCCTTAGGGAGGACTGTCCACATCCTGACCCTCGGAGCATGGTCAATGCTTAGTGGGGGCTAAATCTAACACAGAACCCTGGTGTGGAGTTGTAGGATAATCGCTGGATTTCTAACCACAAAATTGGCAGTTCAAACCCACCAGCTGTTCCTCAAAAACCCTACACAGGGTTGCTCTGAGTTGGAACTGACTTGATGGCACTTTAAACAACAATAAAAGTAAGTCTGACATAGCACCCCTGTCTTCAGCATCTCTTTGCTCTATTAGGTTCCCAAGAAACAAAGTCATCCCACCTCTTACGGTACCTGAGAAGACCACCCTACCTCTTGGGCCCACCCAGCATCGAGCAGTCAGAGTGATGAGACCTGCGCAGCCCCAGGTACGGCCTGAGTGAGGCTCTGGGGCCAGTCCCGGGCCAGGGAGAGGCAGTACCTTGTTGAGCTCCTCGATCCTTCGGATCAGGTACGGGTTGCTGGAAGAGTTCTCGAAGTAGACGTAGTCTGCAAAATCACAGAGAAGTAGTCAGCTGTGGCTAGACCTCTGATTCCAGTCCCCTCCCACCTCCCAAAGAGACCTGGGGCTGGGAGAGTCGTTTATGTGAGGACAGTACCCACTGGGGACAAAGTCTGATGGGGACCAGAGAGGCAGCGAGAGAGGCAACTTGGACAGGGTGGACACAGCCCAGAAGACCCCCACCTCGTATGTCCTGACATCAATGTTCTCCAGCTGGTCCTCTGGGGGAGGCAAAGGCACCCCAATATAACTACCTGGGACCTGTGGTCACCTCCCCATGTGGCACAGCTGACCCTGAAGGGGAGTGCACAGGTTTGTGTGTTTACACCAACAGCAGCTCCACACAAGTGGTTTCCAACACAACCAAAGCGTCTACAAAACAGTGACGGTCTCATCCACCAGCATAGAGGCACAGACAGGGGCACCCATCCCAGCCCTGGGAGGCCAGGGCACACCAGGAAGGTCAGTCTGGGAAGAGACGCACCTTTGCAATGGACAAGTCTGAAGTCCAAAGCAGACTTCCCCAAGTGAAGCCTGGGACCGGGTCAGCCACAGACCAACCAGGACCCTGAGCCAGAGTGACTCCCAGCAGGCAGGCAGTATGGACGGACAGGACAGGACAGCAAAGTCCCAGGGACCACAAACAGGAATAGGCCAAGAGAGCTCACCCATGGCCCCCAGAGGGGCCCACCTCTGCCACCTGGGTCCTGTGAAAGGGGTCTGCAGCCAGTGCATACCTGTCAGCACCTGCTCCCCACCAGGCTCCCCCTATAGCACCAAGAGCAAGGACAGATCAGCCACTGCTCTCCAAATAAGCCCCAGGAGGCTAAACACTCAACGAAAGAAGGAAAAAATGCCACCAGCATAGAGCTTCTTCAGGGTGATGGAACACTCATACAATAGTGTGAAAAACATACACTCAAAATGGGTGAATTTCACAACCTGCAAACACCTCAGCAGTCACTTAAAAAGGATCTCTAGGAACTGCGAAGGAGGTGGGACTTGATGGTGGTTAAGCTAGAAGCACAGTGAGGATCAACATCAACACAGAATATCGGACGAAGCAGGTTCAGTGGACGGTCCCAGAACACTGAACCACATATATAGGAATATTTAGAAAGTTTGAAGTCTTACAGCCAGTGGCATTTGTAGCAGAAGCAAGAAATTTAGTGCTTTCAGGGATCCACCAGCCTCAGAGGCTCCCAGAGCAGCCATCTTGGACAAGATGGAGCCAGGGGCGAGGATTGAGGATCAGAGCAGCCACGGACTGACACATGACAGAACCGCAGAGTTACAGGTGTGGACATCTTTTTTTTTTTTTTTTTTTTTTAATCTGTTCACTGGTCTCTCGCACTGGCTGCACACCTCCATTCTGGTGACTAGAAGGGGTGCCTGAGCGAGTGGACACCCCACCCCCACCCCCAGAGGGTTCTAGTACACATACGCACAGATCTCCTAAAAATTTAACAGAACAGTTGCCACGTGAAAGCACAGAGCAGCACAAAATGACACTGAACTGCTTATTACTAGGAAAAAGGCCCGAACGGGAATTGTGGACAGGCACAGGCAGACTAAAAAGGAAACAAGCCAAAAATTAAATCCTGAGTTACATCGTAACAGCCAACAGTGGCATTCTGAAGTTTCTCAGGAGGCCATGAAGGCAAGAAGCCAAAAGAGGACATTAAAGTCATACTCATATTTGGCCACAGATATATATATATATTTTTGTTGTTGTTGTTGTTGTTGTTGCTCTTCTCTCTTTTCTGCGATTATAGACTACAGCATCCAATCTGTCTTTTTTTGCTGTCGCTGCTGTGTTTTTTGGTCCCCTCATTACCTTTAGGGGGCTGTCTCCCTCCCTAACATTACCCAAGAAGAGACAGCAATTGCTGTCATATAGTCAGGCTACAATCACACCCAATAAGATCCCACAATCCAGGCAAGAACCAATACCAGCTGCCATACACCAGGTAGACAGCCAACACCTTTGAGTAATAAGAAGAGTGAAAACGGAAGCCCATCTCCTGATTACATCTACCTGGAGGTGATCAGAAAGCATTAAAAAATACCAAAATACACACCCATGTAAGTATTAAGACCACAGATAACCCCTGAATATGCCCAAAAAACAGAAGGAGACAACCATATCTTCACATGTCCAGAAACGAGATAAAGTGACTGAGGAAATGAGCTAGAAGTAGACCTACACTCCATACTGGAAGGTGGGCAGGCTTTGGAAATGCCAGAGAAGGGATTCAGAAAAATGATTATAAAATGTATCAAAACACTATACAATGGAGTTGAGAAAAAATAAGGAAGAAGTCAGGAAAGTACTACAGGTACAATCAAATAAGATAGATAGAGCACTGGAAACAATTCAAAACATACAGAAAGAGATCCAATCTATCAGTAATAAAATATCAGAAATGGAGAATACACTGAAAGGGCAAAGGAGTAGAAGTGAAGAGATGGAAGCCAGAACTAGTAATCTGAAAGACAAATCTCTCAATACTACCATGATAAAAGAGTAAGCAGAAAAAATGATCAAAAAAATCTGAAGAAGGTCTAAGATTCATGTTGGACAACATGAAAAAGAATAACTTAAGAATTATTAGCATTACAGAACAGGGAGAATCACACAAGTCCACAGAGGAGATGATAGTTAAAGAGCTTCTGGAAGATAATTTCCCTAACACCCTGAAAAGTGAAAAAATAAGCATTCAAGAAGCATAACGAACCCCAGGAAGGATAGACCCTAAAAGAAAATCACCAAGACATATAATAATCAAGCTCTTCAAAATCAAAGATAAGGAGACATTCCTGAAAGCAGCTAGGGAAAAGAGAAGTGTAACATACAAAAGCAAGTAAATCAGATTAAGCTCAGATCTCTCAACAGAAACC